CGCCTAGTGTGTACAGGGCCTTAATGTTTGGAACATAAAATGCCATCCATTCCAAATTAAGATAATAAATTGATAACATTTGAGAATTTTAATTCTAACATTTGCATTTTATTTTATCTTTTGCTATTTTTTTATTATGTTATGGTAAGTAATCTTATATCAAAAAAATGGAGAAGTTAACTTTATCTTATTTATACTATTTCTAAGCATATATAAGAAATATTTCTGTCATTTAAAAATTATGATCAATAGCAATGCCAACAGACAGTGTCGTAACTAGGCAGGTACAACAGGTGCACCCGCAGAGAGCCCAATTAAAAGGGGGCTCAAAATGCATGTATTTGTTTTATTATTTTCCCAAACCTAATTAATTAAAGGGCCTAAATGCAAATTCGTGCACAGGGCACAGGAATGGATAGTTACAGCACTGCCAAAAGAACATTACTTAATAAACATAATGCTCACAAATATAATATATATAATAATCTATTTTTTTACTAAGAGAACATTTTATAGAATTATGCATATTACAGTAGAACCTCCATTATCCGGACCTCCATTATCCGGATTTTCGATTATCCGGATTTTCCCTTATCCGGACTACATTCATCCCCAATTAGTCCGGATAATCGAGGTTCTACTGTATATTAATATTGTACAAGAACTATTAATAATATTTTAAATTAATTCGTCAGCTATGCCTGCAGACTATAAAAAGGGGCATCGTACGTATGCAGTTAGTTAATCCCTCGATGCTACCGTGTATATCAAAATTGTGTTAATTAAATATAGTGGTACTTCAGTACTTGACCAAACAAACAATCACAACCCGCTAGAACAGATGTTTTTATTTTAATTTTGTCATTAGTAAAAAAATTTTTCTGTAATTAAAATGGGTAACTAATTTAAAAGTAAAATGAAACCTTACAGCTCCCTTGGGGATTAAGAAAAAGACAACCTGACGACCAAGGGGGGGGAACACTTGCCCTAAGTTCCCCAATGTCTGGATACCCTTGTAATTCATTATTTTCTTTTGTTGACAAAACCAAGTTGATAGGCAAATTTTAAAGTAATAATATAAAATTATAATTGTAAACTCATAAATTTTCATATTTAATAAGTAAATAAATTTGAAATCCTAATAAGGAAACACATGATTGAATATAAATATAAAAACAAAGTTATGCTTTATTTTCCTTGAATCATCCTGTATATACACAACTAAAAGCACAAGCAGACACAACAAAATTAAAATATAACTGCCATTGTATTTTAATTTTTTTGCATAAAATGCAATTAAACACATTTCATTGATTTGATTAAAATCATGTTACAATCATAAGAACTAATACAGTTAACTTGTTAATTTTAACGGACTAATTTACATTTGAATACATATATATTTTGGCTAAACTAATATACTCATAAAATAATAAAATTTCAATATATAAGCATCGACAGCAAAAATAGAGTATTGTCATTGACAAAGCGACCAACAGTTGAACGAATTACTTTGATATTTATGACCTACTTTACTAGTGAACCGAAACCGTGTTTTATCCTGAAAAAAACTACTTTTCATATTTTATATATTATTTATAATCAAGTTTTCTTTCGATGGATAAATTCTACATTTGTACATTTATTTAAATATTTATTATTTCATTGGCTCAATAAGTATTTACTTTTTATTTTTCAACAAAAATTATTTATCTATAAAAATTTAATTTTGATTCTAGTTACTAAAGAATGCAACTATATTCTTTAAAATTCAGACAATTTAACTTCGTAAAGAATTTTAATTATTTTAATTTTTCTGTTTTTTAATTACATATCATTTTGTAATTCTTTAATAAAAATAAATGAAAATATATAAGATTAAACTTTTCCAACCAACCTTAATTTTGACAAAGAATTTTAATTTTAAAACTTTCAGAAAGCTCAAACCTTTGAATAATTCAACTTCAAAATAACAACGAATCAATCTATTTTATTAAAGTTATTCGTTACAATTAAGAAACAATTTTGTTATAAAATTAATGTAAAATATCATATATTGCTTACCGATATATATATTAAAGAATTATAGAATTTCTGAACTGTTCATTCTAATTAATATAATTTTTATTCTGATGATATTTAAATGCAATAAAGTAAATTTTTTGAAAAAGCAATTAAAAACTGTATAAATTTTAAGCAGCTTACAATGATTTTATATTAAAACTTGTTTATTTTTATTTTATATGTCTGTAAATTATAAAAAAAATGTAGAAAGATTACAAAACTTTGAAGTAAAACATTTTCTTTTATAATTAAAAATTTACTAGGACTTTTCTGTATATACACGAGATAAAATTGTAAAAATAAAGATTAGAAAAACTATTCTGGAAAAACAATTTTCATACTTTCTCATAGAATTACTGTACAAATTGTAAAAAATCATCTTATAATTTTCTATGAATAAAGTTAGAGTTGTTTGATTTTAAATAAATACTGATTTATTTAAAATCAATGTAGGTTACAGAAACTGTATTATTTATATACATAGATGAATAAAAAATAAATAACTATTACATAATGGGAAAAGAAATTTTGTTTTCAAAATGGCTATAATCAGAAAACGTGACATTCTACAAATATTTTTTTAATTGTAACAATTATAATAATTTATGTCTGTTCTTAATATTAAAACAATTCTACTGATTAAATAATTTCATAGAATCTAAACTCTCTTTCGAGAACCTGTAACCGGTGCGTAACGTGTCGCGGTTGACAAACGTTTTCGAACATTCACGCTGTTCTTCTTCACGTTCTTGAGAGAGAGTTTAGATTTCACACCAGTGCTGAGTTAGAATGGATTCTGTACTTAATTTCATAGAACTTTGCCAGAACAAGATTCTCTAATTGAAAGTTAAATTATTAAAGAAAAATAACTAATACAGACTACACACACAAAGAAAAATACTAAATATTTATTAAAACATTTGTAATTCATTCATTCTTTAAATGATTCATTCCGTTTAAGATAAGCGGATATTTAAATATTTTATGGATTATCATTAATTTTAAATAAAGCAATCGCTATAATTACTTATAAATGAAAGTTATTCAGTTAATCATATAACTGAATTATGAAATAAATAATTACTCATAGCTTCTAACCAGAATTGAAACAGTTCTAATTTAATCACAGAATTCAAATTTTATAATACTTTAAACTATTTTGAATTTTAAATAAATATTGTAAAATTGTTTATTATAAATATGTCTATTCTAATTATTATTTTTTATTTTTCTAAACATAGATAAACTACTATGAATATTACAATTAAATATTTGTAGTAATTTCTTTCAAACTTAATCATTTAAATTTTCATATTAACTAAATTCGTTTTAATTGTACTTTTTATTTTCATTTGCATAATTATCTTAACTTAGAATAAATTGTATTTCTATAGGATACACATTACCATAACTATAAATGTAAAGAAATTAACATTTTGATACGTGCTTCGTGGTTAATATTGAAAAACATATACTGTACTTGGTTAATATTGAAAACATATATACAATTTATTTTGATAAAATTTCAAAATAAATTGATACTAAATAATTAAATAAGAACTATTAAAAATAATTAAATAAGAATTACTAAAATATTATTCCTTTGTCTCACAAATCCATTGTAATTCAGAAATTGTATATGTTTGTATATGCATATGTATCTGTAAAACTGATACCCCATTCTACGATACAATTTTATTTTTAAAGACTATTAATATGAAGCTAAAATAAATTTTTTTTGCAGTGGCGAACGTTTTAATAATTTAAACAAAATTACTATGCTTTTTTCATACGTGATCTTTTTTAAAATAAAATATATTACTTATGAAACTGATAAAATATAAAACTAAAAAAAAAATTACTCCTTTTAATGATTTTTTCAATTCGTATCTCTTTTATGGTCATTAAACTTTTTTTAACTGATAATTCACTTACATATTTTTTTCTTTTGAAGCAATCTTGTTTAAATATTACAAAATATACAAATTATCAAGTGATAAAAGTCACATAAAGAATAATATAAATATTTTTACATTTTTTATAGAAAAAATCCAGTTAAATTTAATTTAATAATCTTGATAGATAAATATAATCAACATACGATCCGTTCGGCTACGTCATTTAATAAATTGCGAAAAATTAAAACGACGATAAATAATTTACAAAAACGACACACGCTTTTATCGCTCGAAAACTATTATTTTGGACACGCCGGAAAAGATAAATTTAAATTTTAAAAGTAACGTACAGAGTACGAAGTCTATAAAAAATAAATAAAAGATTCGGACCGGAATAAAACTTATTAAATAAAAATCATAGTTTTTAGTTCTTTTATATCCATTTAAATAATCCTTTAAATATGAAATTGTTATTTTCTCAAAAAAGGGAGGCTTTTCTATACATTTTATTGCGCGATTCAACAATCAAGTTTATTAAAATAACAGATTCGTCTTAGTATATTTCATTTTAACTACACCCTTCAACTATGATTCTACTACCAAAATAGTTACTACATTTCGGCAATCATTTGATAATATAAAAATTTAAAGACCAAATCCAGAATATAGTAATAAAAACAGCATTGCAATCATATTGATCCTGTCAAATTTATTTATTTATTTTTTTTAAGTGTTCTTTGTGAAATTATAAAGTAAATGATGACTTAAAAAGCTGTAATGTTATATTTCCATTAAATATAGTCGACCCCCTATAACACTGTCTGTTTTATATGAATTCCATGTTGTACGAGTCACTTAGATTTTACAAATACGTGTGCCGAGCTGTCAATGGCTCACTTATTCGTAAAATCTAAGTGACTCGTATAACACGGAATTCATATAAAACGGAATAATCAACAGTGTTATAGGGGGTCGACTGTGTGTATATCAAATATGAGAATATTTATTAAGAATTAAATAGAGAAAAATGATTTATACCTTAGTGAATCTTCCAGGTTTCTTCTCGATACTTGGAATTCTTTTAATCCAACTATTTTTATAAATTTCACGAACCGTGTAGTTAGATCTACTTGGCAGTGGGGGTCTTTGAGCATTTTGTTCCTCTACGGATACCGAATCTACTTCGTTTATCGTAAGAGATTCTAATTGAGAAATGTTTTCTTCGGTTGCATCAACACTAGTCGAATCCATTTGACGAAACTTTGATTCTAAATGCAATTGTCAATGCCTTCCGCAATGTTCCAGATATGACTAATATTGTTTACTATTAGACAACACATTTACCGTGTCCGAGGGAAATCGATTCATTTCATTGAATCGATTTCACTGGCACGCGATATAAATTACGTCTAACTTCTGTTGTTCCAGTTAATTATTAATTATTAGACGATTTAATTGATTTTTAAAATAAATTTTGGATAAATAAAATAAAATTTTGACGTTTTACCACCTTTTTATCGAACAATTCGTTCCTTCTGAAAATTTTCGGTAGACGTTATAGAAATTTCAGTAGAAACTACGGAAATTTCAGTAGAAACATTCTGTAATAATCGTAAAATCCAAGAATATAACGTATTTAGATATTAAATTTTATTATTATAATTTAAAGTAATAATTATATATTGAAATAATGTAAAAATATATCGCTATTTATCAAAAAATGAATTAAATTTTTTTAACGAAATATCAGTAGACGAAATAATTTCCGATACGGAAGAACTCGGTTAAGAAGTTCCCCGATTAGAAGTTTAATTTCAAAAGTCTCAATTTTTTTTTTTCATAAAGATATTCGTGAATTTTTCCCGAGAAAATTTTCCGCTTAAGTAGAAAGAAAATCTTCGTCCACGACCGGAAAATGGCCTCGCTTAATCGAACGCGTGTACGCGCGTGCTGGCCCATTGACAAAAACAATTCGGCCAATGGCCAATATTCGGCATTGGGCAAATAACCAGGAAATGTACAAAATTTCGCGTGCCAAACTTCGGGTTACTTCCAACACGGGATTTTACACGGTTATCTTCAACAAACATGGAGTTCCGAACAGTGTTATCAACACGTGGATTACACTGTGGCTTCAACAGATGCAGTATGCACGCACTTCTCGGGTTATCTCCAGTAATGCCGGATACCGCGGGTAATAAAAAGTTTTGGTTTCCTTTCCGCAACACCTTTAAACATTTCAAGATTCGCTATTGGAAGTGATGCGTTATCCAACGGCAAGGACTTTAAACTACAAGGATAGCCAGATCCCGTATATTTGTTAGCGTGACCTTGGATCTATGTGACGTCACAGCAAGCCCTCTACTTCAACATGACAGATCTTTCAAATAACAAAATACGATAAAATATTAAATCATTTCTTAATTAATTATTAAATTACTACTAAATGTAAACTACTGTAGAATTTTCGGATTTAATAAGTGTACTGTACGTCAATAAATTTACAAGTCTTTTGTCTAATATTTATTTAACAAATTAATGAGCTATATTTTTTAATATGTGATTATCTTACTTAACTTTTTAATTTTTTTTCGACAATCACCATTTTCAGAAGGCATTCTTTTCAATATTTTATAGTTTTCTTGTTTAAGATTTCTATAATTAATTCTTATTATAGTTCTTAATTTACAAAAATCTTTTATTAAAGTAAAAGGTAAAACTGTTTCCACTGACTAATTCTGTACAACTCCGGGGCCTTTTTTATACGATTCATCGTGATATATTTCGAAATATTTATTCCATTCTATAATTTTTGCTAGCCATTCATCAGTAGGTTTAATAAGCCCTCCATAAGATAAATGTTGCACCCATGACGGAATGCTATAGTTGTAATGATTTTTAATTTTGTTAGTGGAATTAATTAAGTTTGGGTATTTTTCTTTATATTTATAGGCAAAATATCCTGCTATATACTCGAGAGCATCGTAGGAAGTTTCTTCAGAGATTGTGTTAAAGTCTAGATTGCATGTAGAGTTTCCTGAAGATTTATTTGAAGAAAAAGTAGTTTTACATTCAGTATATTGGTCTGTATTTTCACTTGATACTTCTACATGTGCTTTCTCTAAAACTTTGGGTATAATATATTCCTCTTGTCTTCGATCTGTAGTATTTACTTTTGACTCTAAAATACCAGGATTCTTACCTAAAATAATCAATCTAATCCTATATATAGCATTTAATGGGCTTGGATGTTCATTAGGACCCCCGGCTTCTAATTTTAAAAAAAAAAGTTTTCCAGACAATCTTGATTTAAATTGTGAGTGCAGATGTATTTTATATCAAAAGTCGATTTCATATCTTGAAAAAGATCAATTAGCGATTTCATTGAGATTATCATTCCTTTCTGGAAAATTTGGAGGGCATTTTTTCCACTTGCTCTCATTGTTGAGATTATTTTTATCATTTTATTTAAATGTTCTTCTTGTAATTCCAAGTCTACACCATATCCATTTTTGCTTGGAACAGAACCTTTTGGTGCATAGCTATTAAAAATGTCGAACCACATATTTATATCTCTAATATACGTTTCATTGATAATAATAATTGATTCATAATAAACGTTTCATTGATATTCACATTCAATTCTTTCCATAAACTTATGTTACTGCAACTACAGTCACTGACGCAAGCTACTACATTATACGATAGTAAATAAAGTTCTGCTATTAATTTTAAAAGTATTTCTCTTGTCATTTTTTGATCAAACCCGATGTAAACAGGTTGCTTCCAATTTGAAAAAAGAAGGTTATTATTGCAACAATACACAGCACACCTAGTACTCAGCATTTTGTTCTTCACCTAACATAAAAATATAGCTTTAAATATTTAATGACTTATATTTAAATCATCTTACCTTATAAAAAACTTAGTCAAATAAAACAATTACAGAAACGTTAATCACAAAATTGGACGAATATTAAAAGCGAAAACTAAACACGTGCACACCCTGCTCTATGTAAACAGAGAGGTCAGGACACGTGCTGACGTCACTAACTTGCCATTCCTGGCTAACATTGTAGAATAGGGATCTGGCTATCCTTGTAGTATACAGTCCTTGGACTCGTACAACATGGAATCATATAAAACGGAATAATCAACAGTGTTATATGGGGGGTCGACTGTATATGTTAATACGTTCATTTTATGTTTTTTTAAATATTAAATTGATTTAAGTTTATAATGTGATCGTTTTTAAAGTATTATTTAAAAGAAATTTATACTTTTGATGACCTCAAATGGATTTACACCATTTTCTAAGTCAACAAAATGTGAAAATCATATATTAAATACTGTATGGGATTTCAATCGAATCAAACCAATTTTTTAATGAAATTTTTATTAAATATGTCAAAAAATAAAAATTAAAAAAGGTTTTATTTCAATATTTCTTCAAGCAATGCCATTTTTAATTTTTATCGTTATGAGGAAGTTTTTGAAAATAGTTATGATGTTGTGCCTTACGTCTTTTCTGCCCTTCCCTTCGCCACGTGGTGGGTCCGACTCGGTGGAGAGGAGTTGTGTAATTCTGGGGTGTGTAACCGAGGGTGGGAGTTTTATTGGAGGGTGTGTCTCGGAGAGAAGTAGAACGGAAGTGAAGAGAGGACGGGGAAGAAGGAAAGTAGTGGTGGTGGTGGTGGTGGTGAAATTGCGTGGGAAAGTACTGTAAACACTGTGCAACGAGTCAGTGTGGAGATTTTGAATTTCGAACTGTTTTCTGTCCAGAGTGAAGAAAAGGAAGAGGTACACTACAAACTCATTTTCGGTATGTTTTATGTCCTCACGTTACGGGAATTTTGAGCAGTATATTGTCGGGAGATTTGATGTTAACGATATTCGGTATACTGGATTATCGGGCTCCGTACGTTCCCGTGATTTTCTTTTCTAGAAGTACTGTATGTTCTCAGGAAAATTAAAGGGTTATCTTGTTAATTTGGATAGTTGTCATCGTCTAGTCCCTATTGAGATCAGTGGATTTCCCCTGCTAAGCGTCTGCTCTATCAAGCACGCTTGTTCTAAATTTGTCCCTTCGAAGAAATCACTAAAGTTCTACGTGTCGACTCGTTCTCACGTTTTATATTCTCACAATGTATTGGAGGAATATAAGGGAATAGATCCATCATATCTTTGAAATTTTTGGATATAATGGGTCTGGCATAATGATATAAAGGTGCTATTATTATATTTTCAAATTTTCGTGGTCTTCCTGGTCTGGAGGATAAATTCTAGTGTTTTAAACTCCGCATTTTCACAAATGAAGTTTTATACAGCATTGTATATGGTTTTTTAAAAACCCTTATCCGACATATCTGCAGCCAATTTACCTCTTCACCAGTAGTATTTTTTCGTCTTCCGAGAATTGCATTTTCTAGTGGTTTAATCGAAACAAAATCATCTCGTTTCATTTCATGTAAAATAAACTTTTTATGTTTTCGGCATTGTTATATGATGGTATAATAATCTGTAGGAATATTTTACAGTAAAATTTTTTTTATGGACGTCTCGATAGTTCCAAGATCGACATCATTTGGTAGATAAGGATGTCCAGAATGTAAAAATTTATGATCGATAATTTCTACGGTATTTTGGGAGGAGTGCACAACTTTAAGCCACATTAAAGCCAATTTTAAATTCCTATTTTGTCCAGTGTACATGTCGCTGATTGGATATTACATGTTGTTGCGTGATTACATTTTCCAAATGCTTCAAACAACAAGAAGCAATTTCTTGGGCACCACTAGATGCAATAGTTTGGTCCCATGCATACATGCTAACGTTATCATCATGAAAATTGTGAAATCCCTCATTGAAAACATGCTTTCAATGAGGGATTTCACAATTTTCATTGCATATTATAATAAGCAATAGACACTGACAACTTTGGGTAGGGTAATGCCTTCTGCAAGTCAAAAGAAAAAGCAAAATATCTATATTATCTTCTTGCATACATTTTCTTGCTAATTCAGCATTTTTTTAACTCATACATTATCTTGACCTTCAAGTCAGGGTCTAAATAGCGAGGTTCGAGGCCGAAGTTTTAAACGCGAAAACGTGTACGTCGGACGTTCAGCGCCATTTTCCTGTAAGTCTAGAAATTTGACAATGGTGTTTGAATAGTCAGTGGAATCATACTCGACATTCAAAACACCATTGTCAAACTTCTAGGATGATTTCTATAAAATAATAATAATAAAATATTAAAATTAATTAAAATGTAGAAGTAAACGTATCAAAATAAGAGTTTATTTTATAAATACCTACCCGAATCACTGTCCGATTGTACTGTAATATAAAATGCACACTTGTTATAAAATTAACAATTTAATAGTAATTTTAGAGGTAATCGTACTTATTTACTTCAAGTTAAGTTCGAGTTAATTTTTTAATTTCTACCTTTATTTTTATAAAGGGTAAAAATCAAAAAATATCGTTTCGAATAGTATTTTTTTTTTTTTTTTTTTTTTTTTTTTGTTTTCCGTTTTTGTCGCGTCGCGCGTATAANTTTTTTTTTTTTTTTTTTTTTTTTTCGTTTGTTAGTAATTTTCAAATAAAGACGTAGACTACTAGCGCCATCTGTGGAGAAGTTACTAAAATATTTCTATTTAACACCGAAAAAAAATAGTTAAAATACGTATTGTTTAACGTCTCTAAGAAATATTCGGTGTCCCGACGGATTATTTCCAATAGCTTAACGATTTGAGAAATGGTTTAAAACTTTTGCGAAAAGAGAAGCGTAATTACGACGACACCGGAGAGACTAAAGCACCCGTCCGATGTAGTCTCCTCGGGTAAGAAAATTGAATTCGAGCTCAGGTTTCCCTTCATATTACACGTGCTAATCTTTCGCCTTTTACTAAAGATTACCGTGGAGGGGACTATCTTTTTACCTCGCGGCTTTTTAGCTGGGAGTAAGTGCCTTTATTGTTCGTGGATGTGCTGAAGCCATCCACGTTGTTGATTTTCACCTGAGATTATCATCATCAACGTTGATTAAAAATTGCTGGATGGAGCTATGGATCGAGCCGGAACAAGCCATGCAACAGTCTCTAGGCTAGAACACCGACCTTGGAGTACTAAGGAGCCGATGGATGGAGCCATGGACCAACCCGGACCGAGTTGTGCAGCAACATCTAACATTATTGCTGAACCAGATAAAATGCAAGAGCTGGAGGATGACTCTTCGTCATCAGATGAAGACTCGGAAGGAGAAGAAGAAGAGGAAGTCAGTCTTGGTGAAGAAAATACAGAGGAATCACTGGAAATAGAAAAGCTTAATGAATACAAAAAAGTTAAGTCAGTTAGAATTAGAACGGATGAGAAGATCGAGGTGAGAGATCTAGTTCATGCGATTAGCTTGAAACTAGAAATTATTGGTGTGGTGGAACAAGTGTGTTTTCAGCCTGCCAATATAGTAGAGATTGGCCTCTCATCAATAGAAGCGAAAGAGAAATTGGTCGGAGAAGAGATAACAATAAACGAAAAGTGTTATTTGATAGAGAGCGTCGAAGCAGAACTACTGAGCATAACTTTAAAATATGTGCCATCAGAATTTGATGAGTTCCTCATTAAAAAAGCAATGAGACATTATGGGAAGGTCATCAAGGTCAACCCGAGATACCATCCAGGAGAGCCCAAAATCAAAAATGGAACATATTTAATAATAATGGAGACTAGACAAAGGATACCGAACTTCATCGAAATTTTTGGCAAAAAAATTCAAGTATATTATCCTGGGTTAAGAGAACAATGTAGGAAATGTGGTAAATATGATCATAAAGCACGGGAATGTATAATTAAAACCTGTCATAGATGTGGAGAAACGACACACTTAATAAAAGAATGTTTGAAATGCCCATTGTGCCTGAAAGAACATACGGGTAAGTGCAGAAAACTTACTTTTTCGGAAATTGTTAAATGTGGATTTCCAAGAACTCGAAGTAATAAAGCTGAGAAAGAAAAAGATAACAAAGCAAGAAAAGTTGAAAGAAAACAAGAAGGTAAGGATGAAGGAAAAATAATAGAAAGTGAAAAGCAACAAGAGAAGGAAAATGAAATAGAAAATCAGAAAGAGATAGTTACAGGAGAAGAAACTAAACCAGGATACATAAAAGAGATAAAAATACAAAATGAGAAAGTTAATAAGGAAAATAAACAGAAAAGAGATGATAAGGAAGAGAAGGTACAAAATGAGAAAAATAATAAGGAAAATGAACCGAAAAAAGATGAAAAAGAAGATGAAGTGGAAATGGAAAGGATAACTAGAAAACGAGGGAGAAATAAAAAGGAAAACGATGGAGGAAAAAAGAGACAAGGAAAAACTCAAACAAGAACTGATAATGGATAGAAAACTAAAGATAAACTTTGTCAATATCTCTGGAATGAGGGATAAATACAAACAAATATTCTTGGCAAACTTAGTGCAAGTGCAAGAGATAGATATTCTAGGATTGCAAGATACCAATATTAAAAATTTCTTGGACTTAAGGGAATTAAGAAAATTATTTCCTGGATATAATATATATGTGTCATTCGCCATAAGAAGAAGTACAGGAATTGTGACGATGATAAAGAACACGATAAAGGTACAGGACTTTGTGACGGACTCAAAGGGAAGAATTCTCGCCGTAGATATTAAAGTGAGTGACCGCTTCTTGAGAATTTTAAATATTTATGCCCCTACGCGTGTCTCTCCGAGAAAGGAATTTTTTAATAGTTTAAATAGTTTTTTAACAGTTGATAGAGAAATTGTAATGTTTGGTGATTTTAATAATGTTATGACAGCATTAGATAAAAATACGCGTCTTTTTTCTGATGGGTCTAGAAAAATTTTATCTCGTGTATTAGAAGATTTTAATCTTATTGATATTTTTCGGAGTCTTAACCCCAGTTCCCCTGGGTTTACTTGGAAGAGACATAATGTAAAGGAAAGACTAGATAGAATATATACTAATATAGAAAACTATAATGTCGAGAATATTATTAAATATAATCTAGGAGATCAAGCTAAGTTATCTGATCATAAAATGGTAGAGGTTGATATAGCAATAGGAATACAGGAGAGAATTAAGAAAAATATTAGAATTACAAAAGAAATTTTAGAAAATGCGGATTTTAAAAATAATGTTAAAAAATTATTAGAAGAAGAAAGTGAGAACATAACAGGGGAAAGATGGGAGATAGTTAAAAGAAAAATTGGAGGGATGATTAGGAAAACATGGAATGAAATTAAAAAAGAAAGATTTAACAAGATTAAGAAACTGAGAAGAGAATTAACCAAAGCTATTATTATGAAAAAAGGTGAAAAGGAAATTGAAACGATAGAGATGGAAATTAGTAAGGAAATTGAGAGAAGATGTAGAGAAAGTTATGTTAGATATAAAATGAAAAGGTTAAGGATTGGAAGGGAAATAGATACTAGTATTTATGAGAGGAGAGAAAAGAAAAGAGAACAGATAAGAATTACTGAATTAATGAAGGGTAATGAGATAATAAATGATAGGAATAGAATAATAGACGAATTTTATCAATACTATACTTGCTTGATGAGAGGACCAGATTATGATGATAGTAGATGGAATGAAATCTCGAATTGTATTAAACCAGTAAAAGAGGAAAAACATGATATTATTGATAAAGAGATTACGAGGGAAGAGATCAAAGATGCGATTATGAAATTAAAAATTAGGAAGGCCCCAGGTATGGATGGTTTGACATCGGAGCTCTATATCTACTTTATTGAAGATTTTATTGAACTATTCTATTGTTTATATAACTGTAAGGACTTTAGTGATAGCTTTAATGTGGGTAAAATGGTTTTGATTAAAAAAAAAGATGGCGATTGTGCCGTAGAGGACTATAGACCGATAACATTGCTAAACTATGATTTCAAAATCTATGGATTTATTATTGCTAAAAGGTTGGGGGATATATTTAATAACGAGATAGTGAATACTCAAAGTGCGGGTGTTGTAGGAAGATCGATACAGAATAATATAGTATTTTTGAAACTAGTAACAGAAATATGTGTAGAGAAACAAATGCCTTTATCTATATTTTCAATAGATATGTGTAAAGCTTTTGACACAGTAAATAGAATAATTTTGTGGAAGTTGTTAAGTAAATATGGGTTAAACAGTAACGAAATTAAAGTAATAAAACAACTTTATGATACACCGAGAACTTTTATTACAGTTAATAATGAAATGTCAAGGGCAATTGAATGCAAGGCAGGAGTACGACAAGGTTGCCCCTGCTCTATGATTCTGTTCGTAATTTATATAAATCTGTTTTTAAGTGTTATTCAAAATGACAATCTTATTGGAAGTATTTTTATACCAGGTCTAAGAGAGAGGGTTAAGTTTTTAAGTCATGCGGATGATGTGAGTTTCTTTGTCACAAACAACTTTTCCTTAGAAAGAATAAACGTGATATTAAATGTCTTTAATGTTTTGACTGGGATGAAAATCAATTTAAGTAAAAGTAAACTATTAAAAATTTATGGAAATGTAGATAATGTCAACTTGAATTATGAAAGGGTAAAAAGTATGAAGATTCTCGGTGTATGGATTGGGGAAAATGCTGATAAAAAAAATGTAGATTTGATGTATGGTAAAATTGAAAATGCGTTAAATGAATGGAAAAATAAATGGCTCTATTTGCCTGAAAGGGTAGCAGTTGTAAATAGATTAGTTATTTCGAGACTTGTATACCTATTATATGCTACGTATCTGAAAACAGAAGATATTAAAAAGCTGGAAAAACCAATTTTTAATTTTATTTGGAAAAATACTTTTGAACCCGTTAGTAGGAAAATAATGAAAAGTGATACTGTTAATGGTGGTTGGAATGTTAAAGATCTAAAAACATTTGAATGTTCACTACGTATGTCGATAATTATAAATAATTTAAAACAGAGAAACCATCCCTTGCTGTATATATTGTTGTATATTCTGGGACCAATAACAAGGAAAATAACTAACATAGAAGGACAACATCCCTTCATTGTTAATAATAATAAGAGGTATCGAAAATGGAGAGATGGTATTAGAAAAATTTTAGATAACGATGATAATATAAGTAAAAATGATGATAAAATAAGACCAAACAAAATATATAGATATATGTATAAACAATATACTAGTGAAAGTGTCGAGAGAAACTATGTAAATTGGATAGCTGTATGGAAAAATATCAATATTCTCCCATCTGAATGGAGAGAAACTTCATGGAGAATTCTGTTGGATGTAGTAATGACGGGAGATTATCTGCGTAGATATCATAGGCGTCGCAATGCTCGATGTTCTGTATGTGGAAGAGATGAGACAATCTACCATGCTTTCTATGAATGTAGTCCAGCGAGATTGGTGTGGTCATGGATAAATCGTATATGTAGAGTTAAATTAAACTGGACTAATATTAAATATCAAATTAATTATAAAGTAAATAATCAAAATTCATATCTGGTAAATTGGATGGTTGGGTTAACAAAAAGGTACTTATGGAAAGCCAGATGCTTAGCAATTTTTGACAAAAGAAAGATTAGTTCTAGGATAATAATTAAGAAAATTAGAGGCGAAGCAGAACTTAAATTTAAATATGATAATGAAACGTTAAATGAAAATGAATGGAAGGAATACTACAGGGGAACGGAAGGTAATATCTGGAAACGCATTAACGATATGTTCATCTTTAATGATGAATGGTAAATTGTCTCATGTCACTAGAATGTTAATTGATTTTATGCCCGATATCCCAAAATTGGGTGCTAAAATAAATGTCAATCGGTACTTTGTAAAGCCATGTTCAATTCTTAGCGATAATTGAAAACAGAACGATATTTTAAATGGCTACCTTCACTTTCTAGTGCTAATTGAAAACAGGATGATGTTTTGAATAGCCATCTACTCTGGTTAGAGTAATTGGTG